GATGGGGAGAGAATCAGCTGGCGGGGACAGCGGGGCTGGGGAAAGGCGGGGGGGTGGAGGGAAGGGAGAGATTCGACCAGCGGGGAGCGGGACAGTTCATGGCGCACACACATCCGGAATAAAAATGTAAAAGCAGTGCCTTTTAAATATCCCCACTGCTGACAGTGAGGTTTAAAGGCACTACGATGTGTCAGAATGGAGAGAACCTGGTGCATTCACCATCCGGAATGAGAATATGGATAAAAAATTTGAAAGATGGTGTCAGCTTTCTGAAAATAAATGAGTCCCTTTTCAATACACGATGTGGTGGTTCAGGGTTTTATTGGATTAAGGTTCATTTTTCCAATCCATAGTCCCTTAACTTGCTGGTAAGAATATTGTGGGTGGCCGTATCAAAAGCTTTGCTAAAGCTGGCCCTGGGGGCTTTGGGAGGACCAAAACCAATGTATTTGCATATTCGTCATTTGCTTAATGATTATGCAAATATGCAAATGAACCTTATGAGTCCTCCAAAAGCTCATGAATGGATTTATTTGGTCCCCGTGTCAAAAAGTTTGGGAACCCCTGGTCTAGTGGAACCCATAGTGCTAAATTAGGTGCCCAGGATCCCTATTCAATGCACAGGGAAAATCAAGTACAGTAAACTTCCGATAATCTGGCACCTTTAGGACTCAGGGGGTGCCGGATTATCAGATATGCCAGAGTACCGGAAGGAGGACTATGAGGGGTCTGAGGTAGGGTGGGGGTCGGCAGGGAACTGTCGAGCGTGGGAGAGGGCAGCGCTGCAGGTCAAACCCAGTAGCACCCCAGCTGCTCTGCCCTCCGGCTTCCCCAAGTCAGCCGCTACTAAAACTGACCAGCAGCAACTTGGAGAAGCTGGGGGCAGAGCAGATGAGGTGCTGCTGGGGTTGTCCCGCAGCGCCGCTCAGGTGAGGGTCGGCGCTGCGGGACAAACCCGGCAGCACCCCAGCTACTCTGCCCCCGGCTTCTCCAAGTCAGCTGTTGCTGAAATTGACCAGTGGCTGACTTGGGAAAACCAGGGACAGAGCAGCTCCAATTGTCCAGCTGGCCAGAGCACTTCTGGGTTCCAGTTGGTGCCGGACTATCAGGAGTGCCGGACCACTGGATGCCAGACAATTGGAGTTTTACTGAACTTAAAAACAGAATTAACTAAAGCTGGCAAGTTGAACAGGGAACTGCTAACCTAAGGTATCCACAAAGAGTGTGAAGCCCAAATCCTGCTCCTCAAAGGGAATTAGGCATTTAACTCCAAGCCAGAGGGAAGCATCTCCCTCCTTTTAATAATCACAGCCACAAACCCTCTCCTGGAGTTAAGCACTGAAACCCTATCTTTAAAAAAAAATGTGTTAATGCCTTTATAATTTTAGCTCAGTGGAACAGGGATTTGAGTCTCCCACTTCCACATAAGTGCCATAACCACTGGTCTAACTGCATCATTCTCAATCTCTCTCTGGCCTGCGGGGGGGTGGGAGGGGAGGGGAGGGAGAGGGAGAGAGTGTGTCTAAAATGTTGTATATAAATAAAAAATAGAAGATCTTCACAAGGAAAGACCAAAACCTACCCTAGAGTCCCTGGTCAGAGCACTCATCGGAGAAGTGGAACTCCTGGGTTCCAATCCCTGCCCCCATCAGAGAGAGGAAAGGATTTTAACTTAGCCTCTTACGTCCTGGGTGGATAATCATTAGGCTCAAGGGGAAGAGATTGCTACACCACCACCATCCTCCTCCTCCTTTTTCTTGTGAGGTTCACTCCAATAGGCATGCTTGGAGTATACATATCAGATCGAGCCCGACAGACGAGAGAGGCAAGGAATGACTAGTTTGAGGACCCACTAGGCTTTACATATGAGATGGGTGTCTGGCTTTATCAATGGCAATATAAATGGCAGTTGTCCTCTTTGTGGATTTATCTCAAGGTGCCAGAGGAAGTCTGTGTCAGAGTAGGAAATTGCATACAGTTCTCTCAAATCCTAGGTTACCACCTTAATCCCTAGATCAGCCATCCTTCCTTTCTTTGTGCTGTGAAGAAAAGAGGTCTAGGCTTACATAGCAGCTCAGAATGCAGAGAAAGAATATGTTAAGATTCAAAGCCTTCTGAGGGAATGTATTTCTAAATCGTCCAAAACCAGACAGAGACCAAAACACAAAATGCTTCAACTGATCTGACAGTGTAGTAAATTATTCTGTGCTGCAAAAGGAGAGGCCCAGAATAGATTTAGATTTCCATAGTCTGAATGGCAATTGCATAACAAAACATATAGATGAGTTGCTATTAGTGGAAGGAGGGCACTAGTGTCATACAACTTTTACAGCAGCTGAACATGCATATTTTTTATCATGAGACAGTGTGCTCCCCTATACTGTGCAGTGTAAATTCCTAACAAACCACAGCAGCCATATATCTTATGCAAGTTAAATATTTAAACTTTATAGTCAAGAACTGTGTAAAACACAAAAATGCCCTTAAAAATATAGATTTTTTACTATGAAATAATTTATAAACTTTTTATTGATGTAATAGATTTGATACACATAGTAGAAAGGACTAAAATGTCAAAACCTACCGATTATGCTGATTATAATAAATCTAGTTTTGGAGCTTATACCATAGCTAATTGTGAAATTTAAAAAAAATCACTAATGGTATATACGAAAAAGCTAGTTCCTATCTTACCTTTGGATTCATTATTCCTTCTTGTTTAAAACAGTTATAAAAAATATCCGTGGAAAAAACTTCACTCCACAAATATCCATAGTATTGACCATCATATCCACCTGCCAAATGTCCAAAAGTAGCTGGCATATTTGTTCCTTAAAAAGTAGACAAAAAAGATAATTAACTTTTCCATAACTACTGTTCTTTGAGATGTTGCTCATGTCCATTCCCAATGTTCAATGAGTGAAGCTACCATTCCTTAGAGTTCTTGTGAAATTTTGGGAAGAAGATTGGCAAGAATGTGGCCTGGTTGTTATGGAATTCTGACACCACCTTTGGCAAGAAGGCTGCAGGGGAGCACACCACAAGCACTAATGCTGAAGACCTGACCTTTAGTGGTATCAAAGAGTCTGGTTCTCATGCCCTCTGGAGCTGTGTGTTCATGCCTCAGAATAAGGGATACAGCCTGCCATGTGAATTCTATCTGTTCCTTCTTCTGTTAATGCCGATACAGAGGTAGGAGTGTGGTTTGTAGAATGGACATGAGCAACACATCTCAACGAACACCAGTTACGGAAAGGTTAATAACAGATTTTTCTTTGAGTGCTTGCTCATGTCCATTTCATGACAGGTTACTCACAAGCAGTACATCAGGATATGGGCTCAGCATTCATGAATTTGCTAGCAGCAACACCTTTCTCCCAAAATTGATGTTGTCCCTGGCCTATTTGATGATGGCATAGGGAGATGTGAAGGTATATACTGATAATCTGATTGTGCTACCTACAGATATCCTGGATTTTGACCTGTGCAAGGAACCCTACCGACAAAGTTTGGGCATTTGAATTCTTTGTTTCGGTCTTCACCGGGAAGTCTGATGATGAAGGAATGCCTAACATAGTGAATGCCAGTGGGAAAGGTGTAGGTTTAGAACATAGAATAAAAAAAGAACAAGTTAAAAATCACTTATAAAAGTTAGATATCTGAAAGTTTAGGATGAAATTAATCCTAAAATACTCAAGGAGCTGATAGAGAAGGTATATGAGCCTTAGCTATCATCTTTGAAAAATCATGGAAGACGGGAGAGATTGCAGAAGACTGGAAAAGGGCAAATATAGTGCCCATCTAAAAACAGGGAAATAAGAACAATCCAGGAAACTACAGACCAGTCAGTTTAACTTCTGTGCCAGGAAAGATAATGGAACAAGTAATTAAGAAATTCATCTGCAAACACCTGGAAGATAATAGGGTGATAGATAACAGCCAGCATGGATTTGTAAAGAACAGATCATGTCAAACCAATCCGATACCTTTCTTTGATAGGATAACAAGTCTTGTGGATAAGGGAGAAGTGGTGGACGTGGTATACCTAGACTTTAGTAAGGCATTTGATACGGTCTCGCATGATCTTCTTATCAATATACGAGGCAAATACAACTTAGATGGGGCTCCTATCCGGTGGGTGCATAACAGGCTGGATAACCGTTCTCACGGTACATCTACACTAGCTTGTTAGTTGGAGCTAGGTAGGGTAATGAGGGCAAGCAGAGTTGCAAATGAAGCCCGGGATTTAAATATCCTGGGCTTCTTTTGCATGTTCCCGGGCGCCGCCATTTTTAACCCCCCCCTTAGTCCAAACTCCGTGCCCGCAGCTACATGTGGCACGGAGTATGTAGTTCGAATTAAAGATCCTAATTCGAAACTACCGTTACGCCTCCTGAGATATTGTACTCGTGGAATGAGGAGTAACGGTAGTTCGAATTACCATTTTTAATTCGAACTACCTGCTCCGTGCTGCGTGTAGCTATGGGCATGGAGTTCGGACTAAGGGGGGGATTTAAAAATGGCGGCGCCCGGGAACATGCAAATGAAGCCCGGGATATTTAAATCCTGGGCTTCATTTGCAACTCCATTTGCCCTCATTACCCTACCTAGCTCGAACTAATGAGCCAGTGAAAAACCCTCAGAGAGTTCTTATTAACGGTTCGTGATCCTGCTGGAAAGGCATAACAAGTGGGGTTCCGCAGGGTCTGTTTTGGGACAGGTGCTGTTCAATATCTTCCTCAATGATTTAGGTATTGGCATTATAATGAGGCCTATCTGAAAAAACATGGGAAGGTGGGCGGGCTTTAAAGCCCCTCCACCAGCCTGGCAGGAGGGACAACTGGACCCATGTCCAACTAGTTATGGGGGACAAATAATGACGAAAGAATCAAGGGGTGCGGGTCACAGGTTTAAAACAAGGGAACCAGATGGGGACACCGAGCAGAGAACCCCAGACAGCACCCACTGCTCCTCGAAACTGTCAAGGGAGTCAGTGGACGTCGCCCAGAGGAACTCTGCCCGGATACGTGACATAAGAGAGGAATAGAAGTAGGCCCCACAGTTGCCGGGAACCCCCTCATACGGCGGCTTTAGCCAGGGCCAGGAGGAGGTTGACGAGGTGGTCCCGCAACTTTGTGGGGCCACGGATAGGGTGTGCATAAATGAAGAGGTAAGGGAAAAAGTGCAGCCAGAACCTCAATAAGAGGTTCTGGAGGAGCCAGAATAGGGGCTGCAACCTGTCGCATTCCAAATATGCATGCACCAGGTTCTCCCTCACTCTGCAAAAGGAGCGGGTATCCGGGATAGGGGTGAACCGTACCAAGTACACATCCGTGCTCATAGCTCCATGAAGGAGCTGCCAACTCATGTCCCCGATGGGCCATGGAACTAGGGTGGAATGCACACTGGCCCATCGGGGTTCCCCACCCTTTATAGGTCTCAGATAGTCCCGCCATTTAGTGTCAGGGCGGGACACAAGGGTGGGGAAATGCAGGGTGTGGACCACAAGCGTGTACAGGTGTTTTCTTGGCGTGGTTCAAAAACATTCCGGCTGCAAATCCTGCAGCCAGCCAGGGGTCCATAGATGGGGAGGCCAGGGGGGCCTGTGGAACAGGGGCCTGATAACAAGAGATAAAGGGTTTGCAGGGAGGGACCAACAGGGATAGGTCAGAAGCAGGGAACCGAGGCGTTGGGAACCAACAACTGCTCCTCCCTGAGAGTCTGGAAGCAGAGGAGGAGGGTGCTTGCAGGGCAGGCGGGGGGCAAGGTAGCAGGTGCATGGAGGGTGCCGGCTCCTCCAGCTGCACTGAGGTACAAAAGGGGACTATGGGGCCATCAAGTGGAAGAGGTGCAATGTGCAGGGGGCTAACTAAAAAAGGGGGGAGGGGAGGGGAACAAGCGCTCGGGGCAGGGGTCGGTACTCTGGGTGGGGCCAGAGGACTGCTGGGGGGCGGGGCACTAGTGAGCAAGGTGGGGCAGGGCAAAGTAAGGGCTGGGAAACGACACACACTGCAGCAAGCTAAATGCGGGTGGGGCAGATGAAAACAAACTGAGGCTGGGTCAGCAAACTCAGTGAGGGAGGGAGAAACAGAACTGACTAACAAGGCGGGGCTGGCGAGGCTTCCGCAGCGGGGGGCAGGGTGGGGAGAACAGGAGTGAAGGGGCCCCCCAACCAAACACTGCTGCTGCAGCGGGGAGCAGGGTGGGGAGAACAGGAGTGAAGGGGCCCCCCAACCAAACACTGCTGAGGGATGGGGGCTGAGAGGAGATGGGAGCACACCCATGAGCGCTTGTGGGGGGGCTCAGTCCTTGCCTACTGCTGCAGCGGAACAGTCCCAAATGATTGAAAAAAAGGCAGGGAAAACAACTAGCCCTACCGAGGGGCAGGTCCTGGTGGTGCAAGGGTTGGTGGAGGAGGTTGTGGGGGGGGTGGTATGGGGGGGGGGGGCGCGGGGCGGGGGGGGGGCCCTCCCCCCCCCCCCTTCCTCATGTCTCAGTCCACTACCACCCCAAGAGCAGATGAAAGGCTCAGTCCCAACAAACAAAGCCACTCCACAGTCCAACTAGTGGTCCTTGTCTCCCTTGGTGGGGTGCAGATGGTAGAGCAGCAGCAGCAGGCGAGTGTCAGCCAGGTGGGGAAGGCCTCCGGATTGTGGGGTCCTTCTCCTCTGGAGCAGAGGGGAGAGGGAGAATAGCTGGCAGGCTCCCCCTCCCCCCATTGGGCAGCAGTAGCAGCTGGTAGTGGTGGGGAGTAGCAGGTCCAGCAGTACGGAGGCCTCACAGCCTCATTGACGGGAGGGAGCTGCTGCAGTCCTCAATTTCTAGACCAGGTTTGCTGTCGCCCACCTCAGGAGATTCTGGTGGGCTCTGAAATTGCCCTGTGGAAGCAGGCTACTAGGTCCTGCAACAGCCTCATGTGGAGGAGGAGACTTGCACCAGAGGAGAGGCTTCCACTTTCTCCTTAACCTCAATGACATCATTTCCTGACCATTATTACCAAGGTCAGTACCAGATTCAGGGGCCAGTGCTAAGTGCTGGCAACCCACCTCTCGGAAACCACCAACTAAGAACTATGGGAAGAAGGACCTGATGCCAGGGGAAACTCTCAGGGCTTCCAGTAAGGCTGTTGCATTGGTCAGTGGACTCATTGGCCAGGTGCTAACAGCAGGACTAATACCGAAGTCCAGTGGTGCATAGGCTTGGTGCTGAGCCTTAGTTTGCATGTAGGATTTCTCTTCAGGCTCAGAAGAGGAGTTCTCTCTTAGAAACCCTGGTGAAGTGGTACCTGACCCTACCTTCATTTTGTGCCAGGGATCCAGAGACCAGCAGCAAACCACAGATGATCTGGATGCTGGGATCAGGGTCAGCTTACCTCTAGAGAGTGCCAGAAAGGATCTTTGTTCCATCCTGCTTCTGGACATCTGAGTGGGCGAGGGTGCCAAAGAAATTGAGGGGACCAGGAGAGAAAGTAGGTCCCCTGCTGCTTGGAGAGCCTCCAGGATCGACAAAACAGATGGCTAGTGTCATGGTGACTTCTGCATGTCACTAGATTCAACATGCTAGATATAGTCAATGAAGACATCATGGGTCCAGGAGTGGAAGAGTGGCCTCATATGGATCTCGCAGTACTGTTTTTTTTCCATGCTTCTCTTTCTCTGGCATTGGTAGGCACCCTTTGTTGGTATGCTGCTTTCTATGCTTCTTCCTCAGCAGTGGAGATAGTGAAGAGTACCAGCAAGAGCTTGGTAAGAGAGGAATATTTCACATGGATGCTTAAATGCTTGTCACTGAAACAGAGCAGCCCAGATCTAAAGCTGGGTGAGGGTTGCTTGCATGAAACTAGCCTTCAGCTTAATGTCTCTATCCTTTTTAATGCATTGTGTAAAGCCATAACAGATCTGATATCCATCCTTCATGTGAGTTGCTCCTAAGCCCTTCAAGCAGTTGGTGGGCAGGTCACACACGGCCATAGGTTTGATGTCTGGGGCAGGCCTGGCCCCTGAGCAAACGAGTCCTTCAACAATTGAAACTATTTCCACTACGTACACTAATGCTTATTACAAAAAATATATAAATTAAACCAGAAGTGTGCGCAATGGGTGTGCCGGGTGTGCCCAGGCACATCCTAATGTCTCGGGCCGGCTAGCGGCTGCTGAAGGAGGAGGGGGATTTGTGATGGGGCGCCGCACCCCCTCACTTTAAATTCCCCACGGCCATCTACAGGGCACTGTGGGGCAGAGAGCGCGCATGCGCAGTGTGCTCAAATGCTGCGCAACAGGTGAGAGGGGAGACGCCTGGGCATGGCATGATGTGACGGCCCGGGACATTAAAACGACACGGCCCCGGCGCCCCTAAGGCACCCGGGAACACCACTGCCTGGCACAGCAGCATGGTGCGGTGCCCTTGAGGTGCCTGGGAGTGCACCTGGCAGCACTGCGTGGTGCCCTGGGGGCACCCCTGCCTGTCCCGGCAGCACCACGCGGCACCCCTGAGGCGCCCAGGGGTGCCCCCCCCCGGCCTGGCCGCACCGGGCTAGGGCCTGGCCGGCCTGTAGCTTGGGCCAGCTCTGACTTCAGCCCCGCAAAGTGGAAGGCAGAAGCTGAAGGTAAGGGAGGGGAGGGGAGGGGAAGGGGGAAAAATAAGAGGAAGGGGTGGGAGAGGAAGGGACTTGTACTGATGGGAGGGGGGCACAGCAGGAGAAGAAAGGGAAAGGCACCAACGGACAGGGTAGAGGAGACACAAATGCCAGGGGGCCAAGTGGAGACAATGAGGAAAAGAGGAGGTGTCAGTGGGAGGGGGGGGACAGGGTGATGCTGGGAGAGGAGAGGGTAAGAGCATTGAGGGTTGGAGGGGGAGGTGCTGGGAGAAGGCTTGAAAAAAGGGGTGGGCATGAGGAAGGCAAGGATGGAGCAAGTCATGTGTGAGGGCACAGGGGCATGAGGGTTACGGGGGCAGAGGATGGTGATGGGGTGGGCATCAGGGAAAAAGAGGGCAAAGGGAGCAGGGGCAGTGAGGGAAGGAGAAAGGTACCAGGAGGGTGCATGGGTAAGGGAAGGTGCAGGTGCCAGGGGATTCTGGGGGTGAAGCAGAAGGGCAGACACCTGCAGGAGAGGGACCAGCACCAGAGGAGAGGGGCAGGGCAGGTGTGTAGAGTGAGGTGTTAGGAGAGGGGATGAGGAGGGTAGCTCACATGATCAGAGGAGGGCTACTAGAGGAGTGGGTACAGGGAGGCAAGAAGGGCAGGTGGAGGGGGGCAGGTCTCAGGAAGGCTGAGGGCAGTCAGAAGGGCAGAAGTCAGGACAGCAGAGGAGAGTGAGATGTTGGGGGGCAGCAGGCACCAGGGGAGCTGATGGAGCAAGGGGAGGAGACATGGCAGAGAGAAAAGGTAGAGGTTTATCAGATATTTATTAATAACTTGGGTGCCACAGTGGCACATCCAAACAAGCTCCATGAACTCAGTACTGGTGCACAACACAATTCATTCTGCTCATGGGAGGAAACTCTTAGAGGGAACACTTCCCCCAGCCTCTCCACCCCCAAGTTAATGTCACATATATTGTTTAATGCAATTGCAGGATAGTTGCATGAGGGGGATTTGGTGGGGGCCAAACTAATCCCTATTAGTAGGAGGACAATGGGAAAAGTCCTTTGGGGGGGGGGGGTCACATGACACGTTTTAATTCTGGTCATGTGTCCATCTAGCCCCGAGAGTGTTACCTCCAGAGGTGTGGCCAATGGGGGTCAGTGGAATGGTTAACAGGAGTTGGGGTGTGGCTAATGGAGGTTAAAGTACATTTTAAAAAAATTCTTTGGGTGCACAACCTAATGAAATGTGCTGTGCACACCTATAAGCTAAACTATGATAAGTACAAGGCTCTTTCGAAAGGTACTTTCGAAAGAGCCTCTTTTGAAAGAGAGCCTCTAGACTGCACGCAGAATTTCGAAAAAGCAAGCCGCTTTTTCGAAAGAAAGCACCCAGTGAGTCTGGATGCTCTCTTTCTAAAAAGCCTGTTTGCTTTCAAGAACGCCTTCTTTCGAAAGAGCACTTTCGAAAGAAGGCGTTCTTCCTCGTGGAATTAGGTTTACCGCCGTCAAAAGAAAAGCCGCATTCTTTCGATTTAATTTCGAAAGAACGCGGCTGCAGCCTAGACGCAGGTGAAGTTTTTTCGAAAAAAGGCTACTTTTCGAAAAAAAAACCCCTGAGTCTGGACACAGCCTCAGAGCGGTAGCTGTGTTAGTCGGTAACTTTAAAAACAATGAATAGTAGTGTGGCACCTCAGAAACTAACACAAATATATAGTATCATGGGCTTTTGAAAGACCCACTTCATCAGATGGGCTGGAGCTGAGATAAATTCCACTTCATCAGCTGAGTTCGAATTGATTTGATGAAGTGGGTCTTTCTTACAAAAGCTTAAGTACAAAGAGTTAGAGTTCAAAAACCAAGGGAAGAAGAGTTATTCAAGCAACTGTCATGGAAAGTACGGAGTACATGACAGGGCACCAAGTTGGAGGTACCCCTTATACCAACATATGAATGTGCAACTCCAAAGGGCACTAGAGCTGGTCCTACAAATACCACTAAGGGAAAAAATTCTAGCAACAGTGCATGTGGTACACCTGCACCTAACATGGAATGGACATGAGCATGGCCTTGAAGAGGAAAGAAATATTAACAAATTAGTGTTGAAATTACATATTATCAGCCCTTTAACACATAACAGTAGTTCAGATTTAGAAGAGCATTAATGTATCAATGTTGAATATATCCTATGCAAATGGACATTTTTGATGGACTAACATTAATGACCTTTCCTGTCTTATTTCAAAATAATCACTTCAGTTTCATAACTTGGATATCTATTATAAGCAACATTCACAGGGTGTGCTGTAAGACCTACTGCAAAGGTACTGTATACTTATCTTAAGCAGTTGCACATGCTGCATGAAAAAAAAATATTTTTCCATACCTGGGGTTGCAGAAATTCCCAGAATCTCCATGCAGCATTTGGCATATTCATCTGCAGGGTCAGCATATGATTTGGTATGAATGGACTGGTCAACCTTGCTCAAAACAATCTGACGAAGAGTCAAAAGACCTAGTGGTATAAGGATATTTGATAGATAAAGGTTATAATAAGAGGCTAAGTTTCTATGATATCAGACATCCGTTTTATCATTTTCATGTTAAAGACAGGGAATCAAGCACAGAGACTCACCCATGTACATATGGGAAGTCTTTGCAATAGGAAATTGCCAAGTGATAATATAGCTAGGAGGTGGAATTGAGGGGGTGGTTGATATTTGACAAAGTAATTTTAAATAATTTGGATCTTTTAAGGTAGACACATAGGAGGGCCTCTGTAAAGACACACTCTCATTAGTGTGTCCTTTGCCCTATGTCCCATTCCCCTAGTTGGATATCCTTGTGGAGAGAAGGAATAGTGCCTTTCTATGTGTCTGTTCAATAGCAAGCATAATCCTTGTAGTGGTTTTGGGCAGTCACAACACCATAAATAATAAGGAAGAAACTGCAGCAGTCAGGAAGGTTTCCTGTCTCCCACTCTGGTACAGTAATTAAAAAAAGATTGGAAAGGCAGTTGAAAGGAGCTGCTCCAGCTTTTTAATTTGTATTTTTCTCACGGTATAAACACAACTGAGATCAGACATTTTAACAGTAATTCTCAGCATTTAAGCAGTTTTTGCACTCTTTTCCAAGGTATAATCTAGTGAGCCTTTCTTCTCTAGATGTACTTACCTCTCAGTAGCAATTATGGGGAGGTGGACACAGAGAAGGAAGGAAACACCACTATTGAAGACACATAGAATAGAATCTTAGAGCTGGAAGAGACCTCAGGATGTCATCAAATCCAGCCCCCTGCCTAAGGCAGGACCAATCCCAACATAGAATCATAGAGCTGGAAGAGACTTACGCCTGTTCTCTAATGTGTGGGATATTGCCCTATGTCTTTCCTACTATTTAATGAATGCTAAAGAAAAAAAGATACCTGTATTGGCCTTTCTAGAGGCAACAAGTTTCTCAAGAAGAGCATCTGCAATATGGCTCCCATCTTTATAATGTTTTGACATTTGCTGTAGAGGCTCTTTTTCCCAAACCCAGTTCTCAAACATTTGTGAAGGAACTTCTACAAAGTCTGTTTCCACATTAGTTCCACTAAATCTGGCAAAATCAGTCTAACAAAAACACAAACAAAAAAGCTCTCATATTAATTTAAATCCGTATGAGATTAGATCAGACACATAGTAAAATGTCAACCTATGTACGGTGTCAACATTGTGATGATATAAAACAGAGCAGAATGATAAACAGTTATATTACAAGAAATATCAATGTTAAAATAGCATCAACGTTTAAAAAAAGATAGAACAAGAAAAGTTCAATTATGAGCAATGAGAAAGCTAACCAAAACTATACATCATGCAATGATTCTTAGTGACATGAACACAGAAATAGGTCTGTTTTCCTTATCCTCTCTTACATGGCATATTGTAGTAGTATGAGTACATTTCAGCAAAGCCCCATGACATCAAAAATAATCAGGGCCATCAAATAGTTTAAAAATCACAATTAATTGTGAGATTTAAAATAGTCACAGTTTTAATTGCACCATTAAACAATAACAGAATACCAATTTAAATTTATTATAAATATTTTGGATATGTTTCTAAATGTTCATATATTGATTTAAATTACAGCACAGAATACAAAGTGTACAACGCTCACTTTGTTTATGTTTATTACAAATATTTGTGCTGTAAAAAAAGATACACAAAAGAAACAGTATTTTCAGTTTATCTCATACAAATACTATATTATATTTCTTTATCATGCAAGTGAAACTTACAAACTCATATTTTATTTATTAATTTATTTTACCATAACTTCCCTCAAAAATTAAAACAGTGTAAAGTTCAGAGCCTACAAGTTGAAGCATGAAGTGGCATACTAAGGTTTAACACATCTAGCATGTAAATACCTTGCAGTCCTATCTACAACCATGCAATGAGAACAACTGTTTGCACTTTCAGGTGACACTGTAAATAAGAAGTGCAGGGCTGGCCTTAGGAAGTGCAGGGTCCAATTCAAACAATTTCAACGGGGCCCCGCAGCAATTTTGGTTGAGGAAAAAAAAACATGGCACACAAAAAATCTCCCACCAACACACACACGCCCTCCTGTGGCGCAGGGAAACCCTGAGCTAAACTCACACCTTCTGCAGCACAGGCAGCCGCTGCACTCCTCCTCCAGGGCTGACGCCCCCTCCCACAGCGTGCCCGGCACACTTCCGGGTTCAGGACGCGGGGCACAATTTGGGGGAATTGGCCTAAGGCATTATCTCCTGTAAATGTAAACAAACTTCTTTGTCCTAGTGACTGGCTGAACAAGGCATAGGACTGAGAGGACTGTGCAAATATTTGAAATAAAAAATAATAATATAAAGTGAATACTGTCCACTTCTTATTCTGTGTTGTAATTGTAATCAATATATTTGAAAATGAGAAAAAAAAACACCCAATATAGTTATCGTAAATTTAAATGGGTACTCTATTATTGTTTAACAGTGCAATTAAAACTGTGACTTAAAATTTGTGTTAACTGCATGCATAACTGTAATTAATGGACATCTTTAAAAATAACTCATTTATTCAACATAACTACTTGTAACATGCTACAAAATTTTGTTCCATCACAAAATTAACTCAGTGACTAACTTGTATAATTGCTGCATAATGCTATAGTTCTAATTCATTTAAACATGTTTCAGAGATTGATTTGACCCATTCATCCTGTTGGAACACTATCCCTCCAATTTTGTTAATTCAGTAGGAGTATGCTGGCACTTGAAATACCGCATGATATTTTTGAAGTATGGGGTTGTATACAGTTGGGCTTCAAATAAGTGAAATCCATTGGCAGCATGAATGAAATATTCCTTACTCTTCTAATTATTCTGTGCAAGGGTGACACATCCTTATTTGGTTCCCTCAAACCCTACTCCCATTTTTACAGCAGATCCATGTATTCAAATTGTGAGGCATCCCTCTGTAGCTGTGGAGGAAGGGGCAGGGTTTGGGTTTTAATTTTTGCACTCTGAAACTGGATTTCATAGCTATCTTGGGGCTAGAATGTGTATCTGGATTCTTTCAATTTTCCAGACAAGCAGAAAAGAAAAGCTATGTATTGTACAAAAATTACATGCTAGCCCTTAATTCAGGGTCCAACTTGTTTAACACCAAATTTAACCAGTTGATTTATATGTTCCTAGTTCTGTGGAAGTTCTACCTGGGACTGGAAGCCAGGAAATGGACTCCCAAGTGTGCTACATACCTCTGATATTTTATTTGTGCTGCTACCTACCGATTAAAGAGGCAAAAGGGCAACTATATGAGTCCTTGAGTGGTAGGACTGATAGTACACAATTTTCAGTTTTTAAGAAGAAACACTAAAGGCTATACTTTTTAAATAAGGGGAAACAAATTTAATTAGATTAATAATAAATCTATCATTGCCAAGGCAGAATCAGTCTTACATATGGGTTAAGTAAAGATGAAATTAAACAACTTCTGCATGTCTTTATGACAAATCTCCAGGCCAATTCCAGCCTTTTTGCTGATGTGGAGACCCTTGACTACCGCAGGACTGGTTTGATTCTACTACATGGTGGAGGTAGGAGTAAAGGTAGCATTCAGGAAGCTCAAACAGGAGATGTATGCACCCTCTGTATCAAGAAGTGCAGCTTTGTGAGGGCTCCCTATGTGTGTGCCACCATGAAGAATGTGACTGGGATCAGAGGCATGTGAGGACAGTGGATACATGACTATGTGGATTCATCAACTGTTTCCACTCCTTGGGTCAGGAACTCATCTTTTTGGTGTGTCTGTTCAGTTCCTAACACATAGTGGCTATGTCTAGACTGGCCAGTTTTTCCGGAAAATCAGCCACTTTTCAACACTGGCTGCTTGAATTTCCGCAAAAGCACTGACTTCCTACTGTAAGAAATCAGTGCTTTTTCCGGAAATACTATGCTGCTCCCATTCGGGCAAAAGGGCCAGTGTAGACAGCTGAGATTTGTTTCCGCAAAAAAGCCCCAATCGCGAAAATGGCGATCGGGGCTTTTTTGCGCAAAAGTGCGTCTAGATTGGCCAAGGACGCTTTTCCGCAAAAGTGCTTTTGCGGAAAAGCGTCCGTGCCAATCTAGACGCTCTTTTCCAAAAATGCTTTTAATGAAAAACTTTTCCAGAAAATCATGCCAGTCTAGACGTAGCCAGTGTGTACTATGAAAAGCAACAGATGCAATACCAATCACAGATCAGCTCTGTTGCCTATGGGAGGGCTTCTTCCTCATGAAGCTGCTCATTGCTCACCACAGTTGCTCAGGCTATGCAGAGGGGAAAAGATTTGCTGTTACGTGAACATTTTCCAGAAGTTGTGTTCAGTTCTCAGCTTATACACAAAAATATAAAACAAGTATCAAAAGTGAGTGTGAAGCTCTTACATACTTATTTTAAGGAAAACATACACCCATCAACCAGGCTTAATCCACCCTCTTCCCACCTCCACCCTCACTTCTGAGAGGCTGTGAAAAAATAATTAGATATTTTAATGAAATAGAAATGTTACTTACTTGTGCACATATCTGGTGCATTACATGACCGAACTCATGGAAGTAAGTCTTCACTTCATCATGTCGCAGCAAAGATGGGCGATCTGATGCTGGTTTGGTGAAGTTGGTCACCAGAGCAGCAACAGACATCATTCTGCTGCCATCAGAGCGTAGACAGCCAGGCTGGAGACCAAAGCATGCCGCATGTCCATACTTCCCTTCTCTAAACAAGAAAATACAGCAAAAGCCATCCTTATGCAATAGGCAAATCTTCCATAGTTAACATGGGGAAGAGACCTATTTCCCTCTATGATTTTATATTAGGAAGGGACCCTCTTTTTTTAATTAGAAAATACTTAGTAAGTTTGTGCCCAATTAAGTTTTATAAAAGTCACTATGCTTAGGATCCTACTGATAGCACAAAGAAAAGCACTTCTAAATCCAATTAGTTTAATATTTGGAGCAGTATTTGCAAGCCTCTTTTTTATTTTTATAGTATATTACTGAAATCAAAAGTGACAACTCTGTTGCTTCTAATAGCCAATTTTACTAAATCTTAGACATGACAATAATAGTATGAAAGACTCTGAAACATTAGCTTTTGTTACCAACATTTGAGGAAATTTAAAGAAAAAAAGAACAAGATCTACTGCTTTAGCAGTGTGATTTTAAAACAAAATGAGTCTCTTAATTAAACTGTTTTAATACAGTTAAAAACTGTCATAATTAAAAGTGAGTCACTACACATTAAGTCCAAAATATTCAAATGTTCCTGCTTTATTGCTATTTTATGATGCAAAAAGTTAGTGTAATGTCCTCCTTTACATTAATAATACCAAACCCTCAATTCTCTTTCTTTACTGAAGGACCTTGATTAGAGGGACTTACATACTGATATTGCATGAAGTTGTAGCCCAAACTGGAGCATTCCATGTCCAGCAAAAAAACAGTTTCCAGCACATGGAGAGGGAGAGATCTCAGAGGTTTAAAGGGAGCTAAATAATAAGACAAAGTCTCCACAGAGGCACTGGAGACTTAATTGAAGGCCTAAGGTAAGAGACCACTTTTAGCAAATTGAACGTTAGTTGGTCTGTACTTCTGGGAAGCCATCTATCTTACTCAAATAATATTAAGTGCATAGGCCTGCACTCTATGATAACCAGCTGACATGTTCTTACCAAGCTCTGGCTAGAGGAAGTTCAGGAGGGCAGGAAGAAAGATTTTTAGGCTGAAAGATGATAGGATTTGCACCACGAAGAGTGTAGCCCAAGCACCATATTATGTGAAGGATTCATGAATTCAATAAAATAATCAAAACTTGCCTCAGAAGCTCAGACACTTTAGAAGACACTGCTCATGGACCAAGCCCTTCAATTTAGGGCTGTGGGTTTGGGATGAAGGATGTGGTCCTGATGAAGTAGATCTTTAAGATAGGATAGAACAAGAAGCAATGGGCTTAAACTGCAGCAAGAAAGAATTTGGTTGGACATTAGGAAAAACATCCTAACTGTCAGGGTGGTTAAACACTGGAATAAGTTGCCTAGGGATGTTGTAGAATCTCCATCGCTGGAGATATTTAAGAGCAGGTTAGATAGACATCTATCAGGGATGGTAGATGATACTGGGTCCTGCTGTGAGGACAGAGGGACTGGACTCGAGGTCCCTTCCAGTACTAGTGTTTTATGATTCTGATTTTTACGCATTGGTAAGCAGATCTTGTGGGACACGAAGTGCACTTTGAGAAACCTTAGTCACTGTAGACCACCAAGGAATTTGACACATTTAGACAAGATGGGGCCTAGAAGGGAATCACCTTCAATGTGAGATTGACACATCCACTAAAGAGGAGACTATAGGATGGTCATCTCCAAGTTTTCCCCTGCTACATGGAACTCTCTGCGGAAACTGTCAAAAGACAGTGAAATGAAACTGTGATCACAGAACCAGGACCTGGCACAAGACCAGTGTTATCAGCAGGACTGGACAGGATAGGTATGGCTCTCAGGAAGATCTGGGTTCAAGAATTTTTCCCTTGAGTCTTGATGGCTTGAGTGTTGATGCCTGCCCCAAGGTTGAGAGAGTCTTAGTGAAGGAGTCAGGGAATTTTTGCCTGCTCAGTCTAAAGTACTGGCAAACTTCTCGTCAAGCATCTATTGGGATAAGACACAGAGAAACTTCCAACCAACTTGAGTGAAGAAAAGGTCTCTAAATAATATGTTGGGAAGGGGCATAGGGATAAAGAAATAAAACTAAGATTTGTGTTAGGAGGCAAGGAGGAGACACATAGGCTATGTCTACACTACAGGGTTTTTGTGTAAAAACATCTGTTCACAACTCAAGCGCGTTTTTACACAAGTCAATCAACAGAACAGAGGGCTTTTTGCAGTGTAGGTATACCTCCTTCTACGAGGCATAACTCCTTTTTGCACAAGAGTTCTTGTGCAAAAAGCTGTGTGTGGATGCTCAACAGGCGTTTCTTGTGCAAAAAGAACCTATCACAAAAATTCTGTGTATGGCAATCAGAACTTTATTGTGCAAGAGTGTCTATACAGTGTGGACGCTCTCTTGCACAAAAGCACATTGTCTTTTTTGACTAGGGGGAGGCTCAGATAGAATTAATCAGTTTTCTCTTCTTCCTCTTGCTGCCTTGGTAGACTGGAGGCAGTAGCCTGATTGATTCTCTGCTCTCTCCTCCACATAGAAGACTGAGGCTGAACAAGGTCCGAAATGGTGTTTAAGTCAAAGGCACCAGTTGTTCTGCTCAGTTCCTTCAATATGAACCAGAAATGCAAGTGCAAGTTTGGTTGCTAGGAGTTAAGAGGTGGAAAAGGGTACAAAGATTTCTTCATCCTGATGAGCATCTCTTGATTGATAGGCAGAAGACAGAAACACATCCATCTCTACGAGTGTTGATGTGCCATGTGAAAGGCATGTTACAAACAAGAGAGAAAAATAAACATCACCTGTAGTATTAGCCAGCAACCTCTATTGTGTGTGGGTCCGGGCTTTTGATCAGAACACAACCAAAGACAGATATTGAAAGGAACACTGTTTGAAACTCACTGAACATATATACAGGTAGAACAGGAGCCATATGAATGCTTCCCTACCAGAAACACACTAACATTTAGGAAACAAAAAAATCACTTTCTAAATTCATATAACTCCACTCCTAGGTAAGATTGATGCCATCTTAACACTTTTAAAATAAAACAAAATAATGTATAGAATTACCTGGGATAGAGGTCTAAATAAAACTGCCCTAAAACTTCTCTTGTTGAATCATCTTTTACTGTATAAAGAGTAACACTCTCATGCCAAACATGAGCATTTTCTACCTGCTCAAATACAAGTCCCAGCAACTCCTGGTAAATGCTCAATAAGCCCTGTGTAACAGCTTCAACTGGAAAATATTCTTTCAGCTTCTCTTGATCTATGGAATATTTAAGCTCTTCTGTCTTGTTCATATAGTAATGTAAATCCCATGCATTGATTCTTCCATCATAGTTAAAGCCTCTTTCTTCACACTCTTTTTTCTTCAATTCCAAAATATACTCTCTTTCTTCATCACCCAGTGGTTTTAGTTTCTTACTTAAATCATCTGAAAAAGCAACCAGAGTTTTACCTTTGTTTCAACTTGCCTGTTCCATATTGTACTATGTTGCTACTATTAGTACTGGAGAACTAATTTATTTATTTAGATTTATACAAATATTAAAAAAAGTTTATTTGCATAACTAAATATAAATATATAAATAAAAACAAACCTAAAAAGGTTGTTACATTATCTGTGCTCTTTGCAGTGTTCACTTCCAGTACAAAGTTGGCATGTGTACTGTACCCAAGAAGCTCTGCTACTTTTGACCTTAAGGGAAGCAACTGCTGAAGAATTTTAGCATTTTCCTAGGAAAAAGAAGGCAAGGTTATGATGAATTAAAAACAACTAAATTCATATAATCAAAACAATAATCTGAATAAAATTTGAACTAAAATAATATACAATAGCAGACATTTAAAATGAAGCATATTGAGATTAAACAACAAGAAGTCCTGTGGCACCTTACAGACAAACAGATTTATTGAGGATAAGTTTACGTAGGCAAAGACCCTCTTCGTCAGATGCATGTAGTGGAAATTCCAGAGACAGGTATAAATATACAGGCACATGAAAAGAAAGGAGTACCAATCAATGCTCCAATATCCAAAGTTTATGCTCCAATAAATCTGTTAGTCCATAAAGTGCCACAGGACTTCTAGTTATACAGATTCAGACTAACACAGCTATCTCTCTGATACACATTGAGATTATTACTCAAAAATGGTTTAAGTAAAAATGTAGTTTGGTAAGATTCCTGAAAGTTTTGATAGCACGGTATCTGCAATTTGATGGACAGAAGTAAGAGTCTAGTAGCACCTTAAAGACGAACAAAACATGTAGGTGGTATCATGAACTGAAAGCTACATGTTTTATTCGTCTTTAAGGTGCTACTAGACTATTCGTTGTTTTTAAAGTTTTTCCTATTACAGACTAACTTGGCCTCTCTCTCTCTCTCTCTCTCTCTCTCTCTCACACACACACACACACACACACACGCCGTGCCCCTTGCTCGTTACACTCAACAACCCCCTCCCTCTGGGAGTTGGCAGCCCTCGGCTCTCTCCCTGGCTGCTGCGAAGGGCCAGGCTGAGGTGTAACAGCCCTGGCCTGCCCTGGCTTTCTCCTGCCAGTCGCTGGGGGGCAGGGAGGCAGGCCTGGCTCTCTCCCACTGACTGCTGTGCTGGCGTGAGGGGGGGGAGGGGTTAGGCTGGCCAGAGGCTGTGGCTGGCCCAGCTCTCTCCCTCCAGCTGTTGGGCTGGGCTGAGGCAGGCCTGACTCTCTCCCTCTGACTGCCGAGGGGCTGGGCCAAGACAATCCCACTTCTCTTCCTCTGCA